GCATCGGAAAAGGCTGAGCAGACTGAGCTGTAGACCCCATCCAGACTCTTCAGTTCCATCGCTAGTGAAATAAGATTTTATATAATACCGATTGTGTTAACTCAACATATATCCTTCTCTAACTTTGGGCTCAGTTTGTTCTTTTTCTAGTTCCTTGAGGCATAGACGTCGAGTTTTTATTTGCGTCTGTATTGCTGTGAACTTCCCTCTTAGAAATGTTTTGCTGCATCCCATAAGTTCTGGCCTGTTGTATTTCCATTTTCATTGGTCTCAAGAAACTTTCTCACTTCCCCTTCAATTTCTCTTTTGACCCGTTGGTTGTTCAGGAGAGTGTTAATTTCCGTGTGTTCATGAGTTTTCCAGTTTCCCTCTTGTTGTTAATTTCTAGTTTCATGCCATTGTGGTCAGAGAAGATACGTGGTCTGATTTCATTCTTCTTGAACTTGCTATGAATAGTTTTTTGACCTGACATATGGTCTAGCCTAGAAAATCTTCCATGTGTCCTTAAGAATGTGTGTTCTGCTGCTGTTGGATAGAGTGTTCTGTCTATGTCCGTTAGGTCCATTTGGTCTGTAGTGCTGTTCAAATCTGCTGTCTCCTTGTTGATTCTCTGTCTCAATGACCTTCCGTTGCTGAGAGTGGGGTATTAAAGTCCCCAACTATTATCCTATCACTGTTTATTTTTTTCTTTTAGCTCTGTTAGTTATTATAGTATTTGTAATAATAAATGTGAGGGTACTTTGTAAAGTATGAGCTGAGTTTAAAAAGGTTAGGCTGTATTATTTATGGGAGAATTGATTTGGTAGTGCAGGCTTTTTGTGAAAGTACATTTCTGATAAGTTATGATTAATGGAAGGCTTTGAAATCACTTTGTGTCAATTCATATAATTCCCTAGGGCAATCAGGAAGCCATTTGTAACTAGTTTTGAAATTTAGTAAAAAACCTTTCTCTACCACAGGCCTGCAAATTTCTAGGTCACATAAAAAAGTAGGACCTTTTGGGAAGTGAAATGTGGGGCTCTTATGAGTAAATGATTGTTCCACAGACAGTCTGTGAAGGTTCACTCTACAAAATACAGTGCTATTTCACTGTATCTTCACCAAACTATAAGCTCTGAGCAGGTGATATTTATGCCTACCTTGTGTATCAGGAAATTGATATGAAGAAAGTTGGGAATGACTGTTGTAGGATAGTCTAGGTCCCTACCCTTTTGTTGTTCTTCTGTAGGCTACTGCCTCTCCACAAAATAGCAATTTACTTTTTAAAAATGTCTTCTTGGTTACTTTGTTCAGTTATATTACTATCTCCAATTTTAAACAGATTAAACTTCCTTTTAAGAGAGGAACCAACATAATCACTTGCCCTGGAAGTATGTCGTGACTGGATTTCCCTTCATAGAATAATATTATGAAATAGTCACGCTCCTATGGTAGTAGGTTGAGTCCCCATTTGTACTTCTAGGGCAGGGGGACAGGGGAAGTAAGATAACTGTTACACAAGATGTTAATACTTGGGGACGATAGGAACTCCCTCTACTCTCTTTGTACCTTTTCTACAAATCTGAAATTATTCTACAATTAAAAGTTTAAAAAAACAAACTATGTTTATCTGAAGAAGTGTATACTATCGAAGAAAATAGCAAAGGTGGCCAGAACTAAAAGCAGGTGTCTGACTTCCCAGGTGGCCAGAGAGAGATTGAGAAAGAGGCCCAAAGCAGGCAAGCAGAGCTGGAGACCGGCATCTCATTTCCCTCGTAGATGGTGCAGAGAAGGGGATCTCTGCTCAGAGAGCATTGGTATTCACAGCAGGCCTGCTGGAAGCATCTAGAAAAAGCATGTGCACACAGTTGGGGAGTGAAGTCATCTTATTTTCCAGTTGGTCTTTTCTTTCGTTCACAATCTCTTATATGGCATCACAAACATTTGCAGGCTCTTCCCTGTGACCTCCCCAATTTTCTTTTTCCTTTTTTCCTTTTATATTTTATGTCCAATGTAAATAAAAAATCACCTAAAAGTTGGGAACATTCTATTGCATAGAATGCCAAGAACAAGAGTGGCAGAAAGGGAAGATTTGATGGATGTGTGTGTGAGTGTATTTATCTTCTTTGAATGCTAGACAAGCAGTGCTTCTTTTTAACTGTCAGATTCTGCCATGGAAATCCACGCATGTCTTTGAGGGCTCTCCAAACACAGGTGAATTGGTGGCCTTTTGCAAGGCTATTAATAAGAACATCTGTTACATACATACGATTTTGCGCGCTGGGCCTCTAGTTAATAACATCTATCACATACATACTCTGGTTAGGCACTAGGCCTGGCGCTTCACGTGTATTATCTTATTTAATTCTGCAGGGAAGGCACTAACATATTATCTCCATTTAAAATGAGGAAATGCAGACTTAGAAAGCGTAAGTAAGTTTCTCAAATCACATAGCAGGTAAATGGTGTGGCTGAGATGTGAACCTAAGAATTCTACCTCTTTTCTATTAAGGCATGTATTTGCATTCTTGAGAATTAAAATATTTGTGGTTGTCTCATGATGAAGCATGCTACTGAGACATAAAAATTAAGAAATTTCGGTATCATTTCAAAAGAATATTAAAGTTTAGGACCATGGTTGTCTAATGGTTTTCTCTGCACGTAGCACATTTATCAGTTACCAAAGGGAAATTAGTCTCTTCAAAATGGAAATAATAAAAACCCGACCTCCCCCTCTTAGGAAAGCCACCAGGACTAAGTATGGCTCCATTTCCTCTCCTTGGGGATGACTGCTAAAGGACCTGGGATACGTCCACTTCTATTTCCCAGAGATTATATTTGACTCTGACATTGGGCATTTTCTAGATGACATCCAAAGAGTTAGTGGAGAAGGATAAGTATCAAGCATTTCACCACTTCTTCTGAAATATCTGCTCCTTGCTCGGTTATCAATGTTTTAAACTGTCAGGGAGTATCCCTACATTTTTCCTGTTTTTGTCGTTGGCCTAGAATTCTCAGGCCCGGTTTCTCCCAGGGTGAAATGTTGACTTCTAATCGGCAACACTGCTCATGTTTTAGGGCTAATCTTGTAAATGAGGGGGTGTCTGTTTTTCTTATTGAAAACTGTATTTCTCGTTTCAAGGCAGATTGCTGGCGATGGCTTTTCCAGTCTGTGCACGGAAGTCGTCATCCTTCCGCTCTTCTGCAGGCAGTGGGCTTTCGGGGCCCTTAATCAGACTTGCTTTTAAAAATCACCTCATGGAATGATGTTTTAAAAATGAGGACAAAGGACTACTTTGTTACTGTGTGGATTTTGTATTTATCCAATAACTTCTGGATAAGTATCGCCTAACAGTGTGGGAAGACTCCTGGCTTATTAGTCTAAATTCTGAAACATTGCGTGTTTGATTGGGGCATTGTTGGGTGTCTGACTAGTTGGCTGGAAGCGAGTGGGACAGGAGAAGAAGCCAAGAAGGGGCAGGACTGAGAATGGGAGTCGGCAAGCGGGGGGACATGAGAAATCTCTCCTTAACTGTAGGAAGTGCAAGGACAAGGCCATGCCTACCACCTGGGGTGACAGGGACACTGGGAGTGCCCTGAGAACTTCCAGTGCATGTGTCCTTTAAAAAGGTCTTTCTCGAGCCTTTATACCAAATAAATGTTCCCCGGGAGCCCAGGCCAATGAATTAGAAATAAAGCCCTTTGTGTGAGTGATCACTCAGCCCAGCTGCTCTCCACACAGCACAGCAGCAGGGGGTAAACAGGGCAAAGGTCCGCGCACAGCTGTGGGCTGACGTCACCATCTGGGGCTGCGCCTGTGCACTGGGCTGTGTACTAGAGCAGCAAATCACCCGCTCCCCATCTGGCCCAGCT